AACCACTGCTACTTTTATTCAATTTATCATTAAAGTTAGGTCTTTTTCTGGATGAATGGAAAATCACTTCTGTGTCCCCCGTTTTTAAAGCAGGTAACAAAAGTGACATCTCCAACTATCGCCCTATCGCTAAGCTTCCTATTATTGCAAAATTATTCGAAAAGATTATTAGTAACAAACTTTCTATATATTCTAAATATAAATAGATGTGTTACTAGATCAGCTGATTTTGTGTATGTGTTTCGCCTCACGGCTTCTTATGTCAAATTTAAAAATTTTGATTGAATTTCCACACACACTCTTACAGATTTTGACAGTTTATGCCGCCAAAGCAAAAACAAAATACATGTAAGTTTTTGTTTTTGTACTCCTGCTATCACCTTATATAAATTCGCCTTGTTCTGTAACTTACTGTAAGTCTCGGTCTCCGTTGCTGTCGTCGTATACTATTTCAAATGTTGTCTTAAACTCTAGCTCCAGATTTAAGGATTTAGGTGTTGTATTTGATTCATCTTTCTCTTTTGTTGAACATCTAAACTATATTATCCCCAAAGCATTCGCCTCTCTAGCATTCATTAAACGTAATAGTGAACAATTCAAAGACCCTTATACAAGAAAGATTTTATATTCTGCCTTTGTTAGGTCTAATAGGTCTCGATTGTCTCTTATGTCGACGATTGCTCGATCATGGCGACTGGGAATGGAATTGAAGACCTGTGTTCGAAAGTAAACGGGTATCTCTCCGAACTTTCTCGCTTCTTCACTGCAAATGTCTAGCCATCTCCTCAACGAAATCCTCCGCGACCCTGTTCACAACCTGGACGAAGGAGGTCAGGCTACCGCTGGGGATTCACGTCGATGACACACCAATTCCGACGGTGAATAACCCCAAAATACTCGGAGTAACATTCGACAGCCTGCTCTCCTTCTCTGCGCACTCAACCGCTATTGTCAATAAAGTACAGAGCCGCAACAAGGTCCTCAAGTCGCTAGCCGGCAGTACTTCGGGCAAAGACAAAGAAACGTTGCTGGCAACATACAAGGCAATAGACCGGCCGGTTTTGAACTACGCAGCGCCAGTGTGGTCGCCAGGGACTAGTAGGACGCAGTGGACGAAGCTACAGACTGTACAGAACACCGCACTCAGGACAGCGACAGGATGCCTCCTGATGTCGCCTGAACACCACCTGCACGGCGAGGCGCAAATGCTCCCTGTAAAGGAGCACAATATAATGCTCTGCAAGCAGTTCCAGATCGGGAGCCACAGAAGTGGCCACCCAAGCAGACAGCTGCTTGCAGAGGAGCCCTCGCCTAGGCACGTCAGGAGGCATCTATATGAACTGACGGACGAAGTCCAGAGGTTCATTAAGCAACCTCTGGACCCGACAGCGTACCAACAAGCCCTGAACGGCATTCACAGGGACTCAGTCTTGAGTTATGTAGACTCTAGACCTGTGAATGCCGTTCTAGGCATACCATCCCCGGACATAGACGAGACGGAGCTTCATCTGCCTCGGGAGACACGCACAACACTTGCACAACTTCGCTCCGGCTACTGCAGCAGGTTGAACTCCTACCTGAGTAGGTTGAGACCCACATGACTCGAAACATCTCTTCGCATGCCCGGAAAACCCGACAACCCTAACGGCCTTGTCCCTGTGGACAAACCCCACAGAAGCTGCACGCTTCCTAGGGTTGCCGTTAGTGGAACTTGACGACAATGACTGAGATACCAACCATCCCGGGCGGGGTTGTTGTAGCCGCTACAACAACAACAACAACAACAGAACGGGTTCAGAAAAGCTTTTTAAAATTCGGTCTAGCCCAAATTAGGTTTGAAGACCCTTCTCCTCCATATATTTCGCGTTGCAAACTTATAAGCCTACATACACTTCGCAGTAGACGGATTATTTCTGGCCTAATGTTCCTACATGATGTTTTGAGTGGAGCAATTGACTGCCCTGCCCTTTTAGATCTCATTAAACTTAATGCTCCAATGAGAATGCTTCGTCAACAGGATTTGTTTGCGATTGATTTTTGTAAAACCAAATATGTTCTAAATCAACCAATTATTAGGGTAATGAGTGAGTTCAATGCTTTATGTAAAGACAATAATGTCAACATATTCGCTAATCGCATGGAATTTAAAAAAAAATATTATTTACTCTTTATTCGTAAATTTTTAATTTATTAATTGTTGTTATTTAAGGTGCTGGCCCAATGTAGGCTTGCTTTGCTTGCTTCGCTGCGAGAAGTGTCAAAAATTATTTGGAATATACTAAAACGTATAAATGCTGGCCAAATGGCAGCTTTTCTTTACTTGCTTTAAGCGCCTCAAAGTTTGAAATAGGCAAATGTTTTATTTGAAGCGTTTGTAAGCTTTTGACAAAGAGGTTTGTTCCTTTCAAAATACATAAATTCAAACAAAAATTTGCTTACTTAATTTAAAAAGTCATAGAAAATGCAGGTAATTCGAAATGAAATAAAAATGATTCAGTGTTTCCTTATTTATATTTAACATATCGTTACCTTATAGTAAAAAGTTGCAAAGCCCACTTTTACAAATTTTACACGAGAAGAAACAACTTCTTTCTCTTTTCTTCAGGTAACTCGCTTTTTTAAGTTATAGTTTTTTTAGTAAATATAGATATAGATATGTATGTATCATTATTATCATTTCTTTTAAATACAAACATTATTTCGCATTAATTTAACAATAAATCTGAAAGTTTTTGATACATTTTTTAGAGTTTTCTAGGAAATAATTATTAACGTTAAGGGAACAGACATTAGGTGTGTACTCGTATTGAGAGGACAAAATTCTCCAGCAGCAAAAGTTCTGAGAATTTAGCAGCATTCGCTCTCAAAGAGACGAAATATCAACGAAAGTACGAGAACGCAGAATTTGCAAAAACTTGCAACCTTCGAAACAGCTGATCACTTGCACAGTTGCCACTGGTGATTAATTTGGCAATTTATTTTCTGCTTGGTGCATTTTCCTCCGATTTGGAATTTTATACATTTGAATAGTTTTGGATAAGAAAAACCTTTTTAAAATACGATTTAATTATATCGGAATGAATAAGTTATTTTTCTCATAATTATTTGTGATATCACATGGTGACGCATTAAAAACAATAGTATCTCCTCCAAACACACATCATTGATCCAAAAAAATGTAATAGAGTAGGTTTAAAATTATAAAATTTTCATTTCAACAATCAACCTACCAAAACCGAAAACTTCAGCAAAAAAACATTTCAGCATGCTGCATTTAAATCTATTTTGGTATATTTAAAGGTAAATTATGGTACAAACGAAAAATGGCATACGGCAACCATAGTCAGCACACACTAAAGTAAACAAACTGGAGATTAATAGCAAATTAACGAAAAATAAACTCAATGAATGTTGTGCTTATTAAATTTACGCACTTTTTAGTTGTATACTAGCATTAATAATAAAAATTTGCTATAATAACTCAAAAAGGTCATATTTTCTTTTGTTTATTTACAAACATGTGTTTGTGATCAGCTGATTTTCTTACTTGCAAGTTTTAGCTGGGAAAAATTTTTCCAGCATAAATTTGCAGCTCTCTTTCACATTTTGCTCTCTCAATTTCCCCTACTTTGCAAGTTTTTTGGGTACGAGAACGCAAAACCAGTAAAAGTTTTCTAAAACTTTAGATAGTTGGGCGCACGAGTACACACCTATTGACTTTTCAACCCGACAGCTGGTTACTTTGACAGTGTTCCAAGCCACCATTCGGCCAAGCAAGTTTTCAAAGTAAATCAAAGCAAATAAAGTCAGCAAGGCGCGCAAAGCAAGCCTGCATTGGGCAAGCGCCTTTAGTCTGTAAGATTTCGTAAGTCATAGACTCGAAATAAATAAATAAAATTAGTACTGGATTTACTGGATAGTGCGTACGCGAACAGGGCTATTAACCGATCTGGGCAGGGTAGTTTTGGCCGCTACAACAACAATGTAACCCTCATATCTTCATATCTTCTTTTGAACATCACCTTAATAGATATTCTACCTGAATCCGCAACATGGTGGAATAATACAAGGTGTTGGATATTGAC